GCGCGGGCCGGCGGCGCCGAGGCGGCGCGCCCGCAGCGCCGCGGCGGCCGCGCTGGACGGCGAGCGCGCGCCGCCCGCTCCCGCCGCCGCCGCCGCGCCATCTGCTGCTGCTGCTGCTGGCGCGGCGCACGCGGTCGTCGTTGGGCACGTAGGAGATGCGGATCGCCGCGTAAGGGCGGCGCGGCGGCAGCGCGTACCGTATCGTCGCTCGAGGAGCTGGAGGAGCAGGTGAGCAGTAGCTGCGGCGTCGGTGCGGTCGTCGGAGGCGAGGTGGTGGCCAGGTCGGACAGCGCCAGGTCGCGGGAGCCCTGGCCGCCCATGGCGCCTCCGAAACCGTCTTGCGCGGCGGCGCCGCCGCGGGAGCAGTACTCTCGTCAGTGCCCGGCCGCTGCGCCGCGCCCCGCGGTGCGACGAGCTCTGACGACAAGGACAAGAACTGCGTGGTGTCCTGATCGCGCGCGGCGTCGCTGCGAGCGCTGGGCGCGGGCCTCATGGGCTGCGCGGCGCTGCGCGGACGACTGCGCGCCATCTTCCAGTGAGCGCAGGCGCAGACGGTGACGTAAAGCGGATAGGCGTTCGTTCCTCCTTTGGTTGATGGGAGTTCAGTAGTTTTTTGTATATCAGCAATATAAGCGACCTTTTCTGATGCAAGAAATCGTTTGTCATTGGGCATTTTACGGCACAAATAATGACGTATTAGATTTTACGGAACCAATGATTGCGTCATCACACATTCAGCCAATCGTAGCCAGAGAATCATCGGGAGGTATAGAAAACGAGAAAACGGAACTGCCGACCGCCGTTTCCTCGCAAAGATGTCGATTATCCGAGACATAACAAGAAAGTTGATACGGAAAATTAAGTTTCGTTCTCTTATAAATTGATAATGCTGTTATACAAAAAACTAGCATATACATCCCATTTATAACGTTACTTTATTGCATCCGTACAAATCTGAAAAGTTGCTCCTAACGTTGCTCGTTTTCAAAACGTACTCATGCAATAAAGCTTAACATTATAAACTAATTGCATAAATTACTGTTAAGGTACGGTTACCATACGTCCTCTTTTTGAAGTACGTAGGAAGAATTGTCAGGGCGAAGAATACAAGAAAGGATGAAATGTTTTCTTTTTTTATTGGAAAGGGAGTACTACTACTTTTAAATGTAACCTAAACATTTAATGTACGAAGGATACTTCAACTTTTTCGAGTCCCTGACATCATAACATTATTTCATTGTTGTATAAATAAAGACATCATCTTCAACTACTTCGCCAATAATCCATAGATCAAGGTTTTTTACATTTACGTTCTTTTCTCCATGAAACGCGCCAGTGCCGTCAACTCCTCTGTAGTGTTTCGAGCAGCTTCCTTTAATGATATACAAAAGTGCAAAGCAAAGCAAATTTTTAATTGTGGAGGGAAATTCCATCGCCCACCAATGGTATAAAAGTGGAAAAGACGGGAATGATAATGAAGTATGCCTATTTAAATGAATGTGAGAGTGATGACAATGACTAAAGTATTTATTTTGTCTTTTACAGTAATAAATTAGTATATTAAAACATTTTAATAATAGCCCCTTTTTTCCATAATTGAAGTATGGTAACCCTATTTTAAGATAACTTCAAATGCACGGAACAATCGGACCATTTCATTTGCAATCAAATCCAAGAAAAAGAACTTCATTTCTAAGTGACTTTTATTCTTGTTTTTTTCCTTTTAAAATCGCGTAATGCAGCCTCCAATGAACCCTTCTTACATGTCATTTACGTCACAGTCGTGTCTGGAATCCAAGAAAAACCTGGATTTGTGTTTAAATCCACTGACACAAAGACTAATCGTTATTGGTATATTCTCATAGTGGCCATTGACTGGACCAAGGCTGAACAATGCTGAAGTAATTCGGTTTTCAAAACTCATTTTATTGTGTTTGGTTCTGCCAAATTTCCATCTTAGCAGGGACCAGACACCAGACACTTGTAATCAATTCACCTGAAAACAGAAGAAACATTAGAAGCAGATGGCCTCATGGGAGAATCATTTCACATATTACCTTGAGTAGAAAGTGCTCCAGCTAATTGTCATGAAGGTTCTAAGGACTGCCTATTGTCCAATAATAATGTAGAAAAATTATGTTCATAAAACACTCGAAAATTATATATTGAGACTAAAATGAAACAAACTCAAATGAAGGAATGCTGCATTTTGGGGCTTTGTACAAGTTTAGTGATGACTTGTCATTGGCATTCAGAATATTAAAATAATTATAGGCATTGTCGTTGCCATCAAAATTATTTAATGGAAAAAAAACTTTTTTTTGTGGCTTCCAAACAGCAGGAAACTGATCACTTTTTCATTAAATAATTTCATTGGCAAAGATAATCCCTATAATTACTCTAATAACTTTGTACTAGTGTCAATCTCATTATCTAATCCTTTATTGGTTGCTCCTGTGAAAGATGTCAGAAAGTAATGAAAAAGGTATTAAAACATTTGAAAAGTTACAGTAATTGAATGTATTTAGACTATGTTTTCAGGGAATATCAACAATTAAATGCATTTTTAATACAATCATTTCTTCCAAATCTTCCAAGAATAAATACAACTTCTAAACTAATAAATGATCAGCTGAACTTCCTTATATCTTTTCAAATAACAAAGAATGAATGGAGTAAATGTTTGAAAAATACAGCAAGACCAATAACGAATTGTATATGGGAATTTGGACATTTCTGGTGAAAAAATTTAAAGATCTAGAAAATTCCAATGTGTTTTCTGACTTCAAGCTACTGTAGTTCCTCAAACATCTGTGTAAAGGCCACTAGATAATTTGATGTGAAATTTGTGATTTATAGATGACATATTGGAAACAATGAAGAAATTATTCAAAGCAACATTCTTGTTTAATGCCTCTGTTTTGGGTTTTATTTGTTCTTTTTTCCCTTGAATGGGGTCCACATGTGCTAAGAAGAAACAGATGTACTTTGGCCTTGCCTTAGACATCTTTTTTTTTGTCTGCACAGAATTTGAAGCATTTTATGTGCAGAATTTTATCTGCACAGAAAATGGTTATGAATGGTGTATTACTTTTTTCATGTAAAGTAATACACATCTCCTTGTTCTTTTATAGAACAATTGATGTTCAAAAAGAAATGTTACCACTAATTTTGTAATAGAATGTTATAATAGAATACTTTGTTTTCCAAAATAGCTTAACTTTTCAAAAAAAAACAACCTTATCTATGCCAAGAGCTTCATTCACCTTGGCAGTTGAGCTTTGCTAAATTTGTTTATATGTCATTCTAATTTACAAATTCTATCTGGAAAAACTATATTTCTAATAAAAATACAGAAGGATTTAAAAAATTATTTAAGTAGCACTTTCAAATGTTCATATTGATATTAAAATAAATGAAGTGTTTTTTAAAACTCAGTTGTGGTTTCCGAAAAAAGTCTCACTAAATTATGGGAGTACTCACTTTTACACATTTATGTCTTTGAATGCATTTCATTATGTTACATCATCAAAAATACATTACCTCATAAAACAAACCGAATGGGTGTATTTAAAATAAATTAATTATGTCAGAGCCACCGGGCATTCTCAGTACATGTAGGATACTCAGCATGTAGTTGTGTTTTGTTTCTAATGAAAATAGAAAATAATGTTTACAGAGGATAAAACTACATTCTTTTTGACTTGCAAATATTAATATGAAGTAGAGCAGCAAAAAATTAAAAGAAAAGTTGCATGTTACGAAGATTAATATGAACAGAACCCCATATTTTTCATGCCTGAGGGTGTCATTTTATTACAATAGATTCTTAGTTATTTAAAACAAAATTATGCTGTTCAGAAATAATTGTGTTACTTTCATTTGAATCTGAATAGAAATCATATATTAACTAAAGCTACTTTGTTACCATCTTTGAATGCACCAATTTAGTGCAAAAATAGAAGCAACGTTGCACTTTTTCTTTCTTTTGTTTAAATGTATTTCTTGTGTTGCAAGTCAAGAAATGAAAAGCTCATTTTCATTCTAACCATTTGGAATTATCGTTTTCTGAAATGTCACTTTCCCAAATGCATTTCATATGTTTCTAGCTTAAGTTTCATGTAATAATGTCCAAAGAATAATTTTATTCCAAATTTCATATAAGTTTTTTTTATATGTGGTGACATTTGCACAGCCAGACTTTCATGACAATGCTACCTAGAAAAATATAATTATCATATTAATTCAACCTCTGACTTTTGTGAATTGACTATTAGATCCATGTTTAGCAGCTTTTAAAATTCATGGAACACACACCCCTTCAATTGTGCTGTAGATGTCATAAAACTGTTATGAAATATGTTTGCATGTTTTACACCTTTAACAGGGTCAAAGAAAGCATCAGTATTTCTGTTCTGAAGTGTCTTGTACTGTTTCGATTTTATATTCTCAAAAGAAGGAAAAAGTTTTTTATTTTGTCGAAACTTATATTAAATAGATATGAACTGCAGAACATTGTGTGAATTACATTTATTAAAATTTTATAATTTTTTTTAAAAATTCATATTAAATTTCTGTAAGTCTGAATATTATATTTTATAAATAATGTATTACATTTCATTGTATTTCAACATTTTTTTTTAGCTTGTGGCAAGTCTTCCAAGTTTAAACATTTATTTGTTTCTGACATCACTGCACAGATCTGAAATAAAAGTTGTTGATCATTATTATTTGAGTGAGAATTTATAAGTTATTAGGTTGCATGTACATTTTTATAATTGAAATGTAAACATTATTAAATTTCATTCATTTCTCATATTTGTACTGTGCTGTTTAATGCATATTTGTTTGTCTTAAAAATACTTTACTTTGTAAATTGCTATTTATGATCTCTCTGTGTGCTCACTAACCGAGAAAGCAGAGAAAAGCAGAGAAAACTTGAAATTTATGGCAAAAGTATTTTCTTATAGTAGAAAAGTAAACATTTTCTTGCCATTTATTCCTTAATTATTGTTAAAAAATGTTTGTAGTAATTGTGAGATGCTCCATAAAATATGATAAATTGAAGCATTTGCAGCTTTAATGTTATATAAAGATAGATAAGTCCTCTGTCACCTTCAGCATGCAAAACTAAAAAGGAAATGTGGATAATTGGCAATATGCATGAAAAGCAGCAACAAACTGTAGTCCATAAGTAAACCTGGGACTTGTCCTATCCCAAAGACAATATTTTTTTAAAGAGATTTTCTTTATGAATGACAAGTATGTTAATGTACAGCAATATACAAACTTTGTTTTCGCTTGTGTACAAATTGTATAGTAATCAACAACCTTTTTGGAAAATGGGATTTGTAATCAAAAAATAAAGATATAACTCATGAACAAGATGTCATGAAAAATAATCAAAAGTTTATTTTCAATGTTATTCCTATATTGTAATTCCTTTCCATTTTCCTAACACTTTTTTCTGAATGAAGTTCACACATAAGTTGTGTTGGTGGTAATGAGGCAGAATCTGAATATACCATCTACACA